AAAATTTTAAACAATTCTCACATAACTGATTTTACGAAAGAACTACCTTAAGTCACCTGATCGAACATTCTGCATCCTAATTGGCTCTCGTAAGCGATCCAGTATGAAAAATAGTATCGTGTGCCATTGACTTAAGTTAATTTAAGCAAATATTATTGTATGCACAAAAGTAAAAGACTTGCAACCCGAATTAATAAAAATTATACACACGTATATAGTTTATGTAACGCAAACACTATGAGCGTTTGTTCGTACGTACCTGCACACCACCGTAGCCCATCGGACCGAGAAAATCTTCGCATTCTTTGGCAATGTCGTTGAACTTCCATTCGAACAAGTGAACCATGGTAGTTCGCCTATCGCCGGCATAATGCAGATCTTTATGGGCGACTGCGAACGCCAGCAAGGATATGAATCCGAGGATGAAGAACGACATCGTGACACAAAATCCGAAAACTGACTGTAATCGCTTTCCCGATATATCTGGACAATTTATAGGAAACTCGCCGGTGATGCACGATGATTCATGAAGCTATCTGACTATCTGACAAGTGGTACGATACTCATGATAAATGTCACTAGTATTAGTAGAGCAAACTGATAATCGTCATCTGCATTATGTACCGCATTTGTCATTCTTTCTAAGGTACTGACATTAATTGCCGACGGTCAAGGCGATTCCGTTGTAGCTGGCAGCTGTTACGGCTCGACTTGAAAAGTTTATAATTGTCACACCACGAACAGACAAATTGTTAACTGCGCGGAAAAGTACAGCAAAATGAATTCTATAAATTCCATTTCGTGGGCATTAATAAAATTTCGATAGGACTCAATCGATTTTCCCTCTCGAGATTTTACCCATGCAATGTGATCGTGGAAATTCAACTGCGGGCCGTTCGTGGAAAAGTACAGGACACTTGTACGTTTCCACTTGTTTTTTCTACCCATGATTTATTGATCGCGGTTTCTGTATCTATAGAGGAAGGTCCCCTGTTGTAAGAAAGGTTTCTCATATGAGACGGCAGGTTTTCAACATCCAAATTTAACCGCACTCCCTTTTCGCGGCGATTACACAATCTAACAATGAATTTTCCACTAAACAGATCTCACTCCAGGACAATAAATTCATGGTGGAACCAACATGACGATGCCTAATCATTTAATAAAAACCCCGCTGTCTCATATTAGGACTCTGTGTCATAACAGGAAACTTTCTTTTATAATAGATATTCTTACGAATAATTAGATAACATTATGCTCATTTATATTATCAATGAAAAGCAAGGTTTTATGCTAAGCGATACTCGGGTGGGCATTTTATCTCCGTCGTCTTCGTCATAATCAAAGCAATTATAAACAATTTTTTTTGTACTTACGCATGAGCCGTTTTAAACATCAAATCGACGCGCCGGTGCAGAATAATTCTATAATAGAATTCGAAGGTGAGTTTTTCTTCGCCGCGCTTGTGAATGGTATTTCGGCGTGATCAAGCCTTTTTGAAAGGCCGTTAACACCGACGGGGCAGCCTCAATGGCAGATGGCACGATTGATAGATCGGTACGGACTAAATCTCGCGATATCTTACGTCATAAAACGTAGCCGGGATGCTGGAAGGATAATTATTTGTGATGCGCCTGCCATCTGACGCTGGTAACGAGTCGAGCCGATCGTGGGGAGAACAAGGTCGGCGGAGGCACGGGTGCGAAATGTCATGATAATATTCATCGATCTCTTTGGCGCGTAACACCTTTCGCTATTTATTCGAGATGATTTGTCTGCGATTTATCACCGCGTTGACCACTCAACGTTTCCCGCGCGGGGATACGGTGGTGCGAGAATAACGTAATCCAGGTGTTGAACGTGCGGCGGCGATTCGTATTTACGCAAAAAGAGGAAAGAGAAGGAAAAAGGTCGACGTCAGAGTGAAACGCGCGCGCGTTGATACGCGCCTTTTGTACGTCGGCGATTTGAATTACCTTTTCCCACCATCTGGTCGTACCTAATATGGTTTCGCGCGGACACTTCGCGGTCGCGAGGTAAAGGTCTGCAGAACTCCGTCTCTCTTGACATCACGTTTTTTTTCTTTATTCACAGTTGGACTCATTTGGCTACGGCATATCACAGTAAATAGATCGAACTTTTAGGTAGAGTTATACCGATCGCCAGCGAATTAACGGCTTCAACTTTATACCACAAGACTTGCCCGTCTCTCTTCTTCTCTGTCACAGCTACGCCCTCGAACGGAAGAGACGCGTAGCACGCTTCTTACATAGAATACATCCTACACGGGGATATGTATAAAATCAGACGCGTAAATGTTACTTAATTAGTAAAGGAAACTTAAACTAAAAGTTACAACGATATGATATGCTATTCATATGTCAAGTCGAGAGATTGATTCTCTGGTGCATTGTGTCGTAAAATAACAGTAGACGGGAAGACTAACGGATACTATTACAATATTTTTGTTAAAAACACAGCCGAAGCGGTCGTAAAACATCCGTAAATCGCTGAAGAAATCGTTGAATTAACACGTTCACTATCACTAATTACTCGTTTCATCTTTTCGCCAGGAACGTTTCGTCACAATTCTCTTAAGGCGCGATTTTAGTGAGGCGGCATGCTGTATAAAACTTCCGGCGTTGAAAATTTATCTCAGTGCTCAAAAAAACAGAGACACAAGCGCAAATCATAGCTGGACGCGCCTGCGCGTCGGTGATAGCGAACATGTTAATTAGTATCAATCGAATGCTAATTAGTTTGAAACGAAGAGAAATAATCTCGCGATGCTTTATGCCACACTTTATCCATACACTCAGCTCGATCGCACTATCGATTAATATTGTAATGAGGAGTTCGCGCCGTTTAGGCTGCTCAACGATGTTATATATATATTTTTTTTGTACATACATCTCTTACGTATAAAACAATAGAAATGTCGCTGCACACAAACAGACAACGGTACATAGACAAGTAAATATATTGACATTTATAAACATATCTTTGACACATCTACGCAAACAAGCTGCACATGCGACAGTAATAAAACATTACCAGAGGCGACAGCTGCGTTTTAGTTTTCACGTTCAGTTGTGGCGTTATGATCTATGCTTAAAGCTTAAAAATTAAACTGCTCCTATAAACTCTACCGGACCGATAGTTAACGTTACTGTGGACGCGCGCGTGCGTGTCGTAACTTTTGTGCATATTCTTTATTCGTAATAGACTGAAGTATAACTTATTTTACAGCTGCATGCATCGTTTACACCTACTTGTTAAAAACTACCGGCAATAGCGTTCGTTTCAGCGAAATTTATCTGGCGAGTATTCAGACTTCTTTTACTACCGAACTTTTCTTTACACCGAACCGTAGCTTCACCGCGATCTCTGGTTTTCTGATAATTGATGGTGCAACTGAGTGGAAAAATGAATATGTCTTGCGTCGGGTGTAATAATGTCCAGGGAAGCGCCTATGGCAAAACATCGTGCTCTCCAACGGTCATCTGTTACTGTCAAATCGCCGCCACGTTGCTCAGAAACCATATAGAATATATGTATATTTCCCGCCTCTTTCTCTCTCTTTCTCTCTTGGCTATAATATAATATCAGATCTACTTTCAACAAGCGTATATCTCTCTGAGATCATCATTATAACTACATATATTCCACAGCGAAAAGCTTGACGATAATGCAATTTCGTTGGTCAACAATGAAAATAGTTTAATAAAATTGATAAAACATGAATCATAATAAGTATAATTTATGGTAAATTAAAAGTCGTAAAAAATATCAGTTTTTCGAGATAAATTTGTAGAGGCTAACAATTAAAAAATTCAAATAACAAATATACTACGAGTACAAAAGAAACTTGGATTTTTAGATGCACGTATTTTAACTAATCCATGTTCATTATCTGCTCGTAATGGTGCATCCACTTGACTGAACAGAACTGCGTGCCTGTCGAACGATAGAGAAAGCATGGCGGAGGAAGCGACGGATGCACTTTTGTTTACATGCACATATTTACGTCTGCACATTTTACGTTTAACAAACACATATTTCCTCTTGCAACAATAACACGAGTACGATTGTCCCCCACCACGATCATGGATGACCGAGCCTAACGGAATCCTCTGATTGATTACATCTAGAAGTGGCATATCGAGATTACCGAGATTGCGACGCTGGATGCACCGTTAAAGCTTTGCTTGCGCCGTGGAGAAGAAGCTGATTACATGCACCAAGTTGATATTCCGACGCGCGCGTTACCTCCGCGCGTCGACATTAGAACGTTAAAGGAAACGCCGATATGCCCCCCTTGAGACACTAAGTAACCCCGAAATGCGCAGCGCTGCGACGCGCCTAAATGGCAAACGCATTGCGTCTCGCATTCACGGTACCTTTCAACATGGATGGATAGAGTCGTAGAGCCGTATAGCCGCGAGGTCGCTCGAGATATCCAGACGGAAGCGACGAGGCGAATCATTCGGAATTTAGAATATGTGCGTTTTGTATAACCAGACCAGATTTGCGCGATCCTCGTGCCTCAGCACTATCCTAATGTAAAGTCCACCGCCCTCGAGTGGTCGGATTCCCTGCTGTTCTTCACGTGGCTGCGGCTGCTGTTGCTGCTGCTGCTGCTGCTGCTGTTGCGATTCCCCAGGCTGCTGCAACTGCGGCTTCTCCTTCCGCCGCTGCGCCCTTTGATCTTCTGGCTGCGCTCTCATCTCCATTTTCTGCTGTTGCGACTCCTGACCCGACACGTCCGCGAGCTGAGCTTTCTCACCTTGCTTGCGCAGCTTCGCTCGCTCGTTTTTATCCAGCGGTTCTTGCAGTTGTTTGCGTTTTTGTTGCTGTTCGTCCGCCTTCTGCAGTTGCGGCTGCTTGTCGTCCACCTTTTTCTGTTGCTGCGCATGCTGTTCGCCTTTCGATGGACGCTTCGTTTCTTCTTTCTTCAGCTGCTCCGCTTCTTTTTTCGGCCGCGTAACTTGCTGCTGTTCGTCTCTCCCTTTCTCCATAAGTTTTCTTCGTAACTCATCTATCAGCTTTTGCTGCAGCGGTTTCTCCTCTTCTTGTTTTCGCTGCAACGCTTCCTCGTCTCGTTCCATCTGACGGCGCAGCTGCTCCTCCAGTTCCAGCTTACGCTGCAACAGCTTTTGTTCTTGCTGAAGCTTCCGTTGCTCCCTGTCCTTCTCTATCTTCTGACGAACCTGTTGCTGTAGGTGACCCGGCTCCTTCGATTGCGGCTGCGCTTCTTCCCGCTTCTGTTGTTCCTGCGGTGGACGCTGCGGTTGCTGCGACTCCTGCTCCGCATGAACCTGAACTTGAGATTCCTGTTCCTGCTGTTGCTCCTGCTGCTGCTGCTGCCGCTGCTGCTGCGGTCGCTGTCGCTCCTTCTGCTCCTTTTCCTGCGCGATAACATCGTCTGCCGGCGCCGCTCTTTCGTCGGGGCCACAAATATCCTCGGTTCGTCGAGGCTCGTCCGAAACGGCCGCGATCAGTGCGGCCGTGGCCTGAGGTTAGTTGCTACCAGAATTTTGTTTCTGATCCGATCCGGCGTCGGAGCCGCTCGAGCTCAAGGTCGTGATGCTGCCATACGGATCCAGCGACGACTGGACCGACATGCTGCGACCCTGTCTCCTCACTCTGTGGGGAGAGAATTTTCTGGGGTCAACACTGGTTGGGTCTGCCTGCAACAAATTCTTTCATAAAGAAACTGATTATGCAGCCGTATCGAACTTGCGCGAGACGTTTCCGTAATGCAAGTTGATTACGTCAACGACTCATCCTTTACGATTTCAAATGAGATATATGGAAAAGCAACGCGCACCTGATAAGCCAAGGCATTCATGATGATCTCCGGCGGTACCAGACCCAACGGATTCACTTCTTGCATCAATACGGTGGCCGGGATTTTGTGAAACTGGATGTACTCGATGAAGTTACCAATTACGTCTTTCAGCGGTGTATTTTGATTGTTGTCGCAGTACTTTTTACTCCACATCAGTGCGGCCTGAAAGCGAGCAGTTAGTCTTGCGGAAGCATCGCATGAACGTCGAATAGATGCTGCTAACGTATTTATGTCAGGCTTACTTGAAATTTTGTAAATTCATCCGCGCGTAGTTCTTCTCGGGCGAGGATCAGGCGGACAACGTGTTGCGGCAGTAATGTGAAAGATCCTAAATTCAGTACTTCATTTCCGTGCTCGTCGACGAATTCCAGTACCTTTTCAAGGAATTTCGTATTAATCTTGGATTAATTAAGTTATAAAATAAAGCATTCGAGCCTTTAGAGAAGCGTTACGGTTAAATGCGAGTTTACCTTCTGAACCAAAGATTTCGTGCATTTATACTGAATATAACGCTCGGCTGATGCTAACAAAGCGCAGACCGTGTCAACAGTTATGCAACATTGAACGAAACCTGCGCAGGCTCGTCTAAGCTCGTCCAATCCGTAATAATCGGCAGCGTTCATTACCCCTGCGGGAAAATAATTATTATCCATCGAAATCGAATTTCCTCAATCATTCATCGCGTTCACAGATAAAATGTTAAATGAATTTTTTTTCAGTACGTGGAATTACCGCGTGAACTTTTACTTTATATGTGTTTAGATCGCGAACGTCGGATAAGATATAATGACAGGAACTACTCGTCGGTGATGATTAATCCACGCGGCAAATAATAGACATTCTAATTGGCTTGTTAGAGATATATATACTGTATAATGAATTGATTACCAAGCAAGGTCCTAGGCTGCAATGTCACACATCCCGTATGAATGTACTCGATCAACTGCCGGAAGACGTCGGGCTCGAATTCCTCGATGATCAGCGTATGATGCTGATGAGATTGCGGCTACGATACAAAAGTGAAATCTAAAGATCTAAACGAAGAAACAGGGGATAGATTCAAGCTTAAGTCGAATACCCGTGCTAAGCGACTTGCATGGGAATTCGTAAAGACTAGCGCAATAGTAAATCCAATTCACTAATTATGAGATAAGAAATGATATGTCAAATATTATGTATGTATGGGCATTGTAGTAATATTCGTTTTAATCAAGTGCAAAATTTTAGCTATTGTGCATCTAACATATTAAGAGTATATTGCTTAACTAATAACCCAGCGAACATTCAGGCGCTATGAATATTTTTTAAAGAAACTTGTAGTATTTTCTATATTCTGTTGAACATCCTGTTGTGTAATTTGTCTCAAGATTTGACAATGGATTTGTATCAATATCAATAATTACAACTCGTTCGCTTGGTTGGATTATGTGAATCAATATGACAGCTGAAATAGTGAATACCGTAATCGTGCCAATCTACATCTATAATGGATTTGGCGACTACGAAAGTATAATTCAGTCGGTCATGCAAAAGTCCAAACATGGAATTAGCGCGCAGTTCAGTCCATAATCGTGTGCATTACATGTTTGAGTACGATTTGAGTCTTGAGGATCGTCTATCTTTGTCCGACGAGAAAAAGTACAATCAAGGTGAAAGAGCGTTTGTCCAAGTAAAAAGGGTCAAGACAGCGAAGGAACATCGACTTGTCAATGCACAAACTTCAAGTGGTCTCCTACGAGAGCTCCTCTAAATGGTTTCGTGAGGCGAAATCGCAGTGCAGTGAAGAGAAAGAAATCAGTGAAGAGAAAAAGAGGAGTAATCAATTAGAAACGTGGGAAAAGGGGGCCCGAGATATGGGATGGAAACGATTTCGATCTGTATGTAAAATTGTACGTTCTAAGTACCTCTTGGATGGGGGCCAGTTGCTGCGTGAACCCTGACCGCTACACGACACATACAAACGCACACTTACTATTTCTATCCTGATAAAAGCGGAAGATTCGTTTCGGCGACGGCCACGATAAATATGCAACGTGTCCCAAGAGAAATGAGAAAGGTTGTCGCTTCAATAAAGTGCCTATATTCGGGCTAGCTGACAACGAGACGTACAATTCTTCCGCTTCATGTATTAATTAGCAGAACTGATTCAAGAGTTGGAAAAAGTTTTCCCCAAGTTAAAATTGCTCGACAGAGCGTAAGACACGAACGACCATTATTGGGCTTTGCATATCGAACGTGTTCGCCTCTTAGTTTGAGAAATTGTTCATATCGATTTTATGTATGTGCTATTTACATAATGATTATTGGCTCTTTCTGTCTTGCAATTAATATATACACGTATATCGACTTGAAGGAAAATTGGACAAGGAGCTGTTAAAAAATACTAGTAAAATTAAAAGAAAGATCTTCATGGCAATTTGATATATTGTGAATATATTGGGCTGCACTTATTATTTCTTTTTTTATTAACCGATGTAAACGGTAAGTTTGTTAGCGATAAATTGTAATATTAATTGTAATATTTCGTGTCGAGTACCTGTTGCGCAGCATTCTGTAAATTCAACAGCGGCTCGGAGCTGCGTTTAAGAAAGAGCCGGATCTTGTTCTCTCGCGCCGGCGGCTCTTTTTTGCGCTGCGGGCTCGGGGTTTGGTACAGCATTTTATGGAAAACTCTGTAAATTGAGAAAGATGAAAATCTCAGTTGAACTCGTTTGTTCCATGCGTATCGATTCGAAGGTGTTCTCTATACAAACCTGCTTCGGGCCGCGAGTACAGCTTTCACAGCGCAAACTGGCTCCCTGGTGTCACCGACGAGGAATGTCACGTCGCAGAGTTCCGGCATACTCGCCAAAAACTTCATGTCCTCGGCCAGGCCGGTTTTATTCTCGAAAGTCGAGTAATCCTCCTCGTCGGCCATCCCAGATCCTGAAGCCTCCGGCATCGGGCCCATGTCTTCCTGCTGGTTATTTCACGTCGAATGATACCGCATCGTCGTAATTGCATTTTCTTAACGCCTTACTAAATTACGATTTAACCATTCGATTCCGCTTGCAATGAATGTAAAGGCTATTCTCACCGCGATAAGTGTTAGAATGCGCGATATCATCTACATTTCTTTATTTGTAACATAAAACTGATATAAAGCATTGCTCAATAATATTATGTACGCGAGTAGTGCGCAGGCTTCGATAAAAATATCATGGCCTTTTAATACGCAGCATACGAGGGGATTATATATAAAAAAAATAAACGGCGCTTTCATCCATAAACTATAATATTATTATTTAAAAGATAATCTTTGCCTTCCCACCCCCTCTTCTCTCTCGTGCTATGAGGTAATCTATAGTTCCAATAAATTTATGCAAGGCTAAATGCGCGCACTATCAATATCGAAATAAACACGTCTCTTAGAAATTCTGCTTACGCCGTAGAGTGCAGGCGGTTCTATCGGGAAGAAAAATCTGTTGTCGACAAAGCGTCTCTCCACTAAAGGACGTACTTTTCCTTGTGTAACGCGATCTCTACCTACAATGTAATTAACCTACTTGCCAAGTGAAAAATTCGTTATCAAACTTACAAAAGTAACTCGGATGTGCTTCGATTTCATTCGTTAAGCCTGCCAATAAGACTTCGTACTTAATTGCCGTCTATTGTCGTTACTTTTCAAATAACCGGGACAAATAATGAACGTTCGTAAGATACGCGGACAGAAAGAAAAATCATTCAGATCCTGCAACTTCTTTTCAACCTCGACTTTGTTATACCAGATACAGAATTATTTGATAATTAATTTTCGCGTGTTTCAAACGTTCCTTTAAAACAATATGAATGCAAGCAATTTATTACTCAAAGAAATATCAGAACACTTTTTTTACATAGAAAGGCCTTTCCTTTCAATAATTTCGACAATTAATTGATTTTATTAAATCTGGAATAATTGCCAAAAATATTGAAGCGATAAGATAGCAACTCGTTCATTTTAGTTTTAATAATCATCAAATTATTTATTTGACTACATGCATTTGACTAGAGGACGTAATTATGTGACAGAGAATGAAAAGGAGAGGCTAACAACAGCTGTTGGGAAGAAGTAAACGAGAAAAGAGTCCTAATATGAGACAAAGTATTACCTGTTGCTTTGATCCCGGAGCCTCTTCGCTTGCCGGGCTGCTTTGGCCCCGAAAAAACACTTTTAACTCTCTTCTTGAATATCGTCGGAGAAATCAACCGTTCGCTGAATTGAATGCGCAAGAGAAGAAGATTAACTATTAACGTAGGAATCGTGGGACACTTGCATTTGCAACGACAAATGAGGCGACAGGTGCCAGATTATTACAAGGATCAAACGTTCTCTCTCATTAACATACACGTAATATATTAATTGAGCACATTACACGCGAAAACATAATTTGGCACAAATCGAGAGTACAATCGCAAGAGCAGTTTGAAGAAATCGTATGTAGAATGTAGATAAGATGGTTATACTCGCGGCAACACCAAGATAAAAGAGAAATTAATGCAAATTGCAAGGTGAAATTGATCGGACACTTGGACCGTGAGGCAGGTACCTAGAGATCCGCGACAATGAACTCGGGGTGCGAATCAACGTCGCGGGATGGATCGCGGTGGTTTCCAGCGAAGCTGCCCGGAACGAACGTCGCCCTTTCACGCCGCGGCCGAGACCAGGGATGATTTCGCCGCAGAGAACGACGCACGTGAACGTCCCCGGGTCCTGGCTTGCCGTCTTCGCGAAGACTCGAGGGATTCCGGACGCGTCGGGGGTCGCTTTCGTGAATGGATACGCAGCCGGAGAGAAAAAGAGAGAGAGAGAGAGCGCAGGGCGAAGTCTCTAGACGCGCAAAGAGCTGGACAGACCCAGAGCTTCCTGTCGACGAGGCGTCGGAGAGGCGTCGCGGCGCCTGCGTCATGAGGGACGCCGACGCCACCCTTCTACGCCGGCTCGACCCGGAGGACTTTCCCCCTATCGGACAGTTTCAAGCGAAGCGGATATCCTTGGGCCGGGCGATTGATTAAATATCGCTCGAGAGTATTCGGTTCGTTTCGAGATGCTGCGTCACAGGCTTGTACTTTCGCTAATTCGTGTCACTATCGCGCCGCGGTACACCTGAATTTCAATTAATTAAATCTACTTTGCGGGAATTTCAATCCTGGACTTTTTGCAGTTGCCTTATGAAATGTGTAGTCGGATAATTTGTCGTCTTGTACAGATTATAATACAACGTAATTCGTATCTGCGATTTAAAATATACGACTTTTGTATCTTGCAATTTTGTTTTACAATTTTTCCCGGAGAACACGAGTTTTCATAATTTTTTTGAGAACAGTAAAAAGACTTGCTAATTCTCGTTGCTCTGTGAGATTCCAATCGTTTGTTTTTCAATAGTCGGTATTTTCAGGATATCGTGCACCATGATGCTATTTTCATTAATGACCCGGCAATAATGCACGCACGGAAAGTGAAGATGATACGTTCGCCGTGACGAATTTGGCTCGACCTAGAGTAACATGAACTGGAATTATTCATGTTGTTGAAAAAGCCTCGTCTCACTTCGGGGCTTCCGCTATCTTTCTCTTCTAATCAATACGACTGGGCACCGCAACAAGTTGCAATGCGGCCGCAATACGCGAGAAAAACACCTTGGATTTGATGCAGATTCACGAATATTCTTCACCTGATTTGGAATTATTGCACGCACGTGGTACGAAATAAATAAAATTAGACATATATTATATAAGTAAACTTTATACAATTAATTGCTTTAAAAAAATGTAAAACTAATATAATAATTACGAGTTTACACGTTTTTACTTATCTGATTTACTCTCCGCATTTTATTATATTTTTTACGTTAACTAAAGAGTAAGAGTACTTGGAAATGTTTTTACAAAGAACTAGTTCGCCATGAATTTGTCACTTCTAGAGCCAAAAACTTGTCCGTTTCTTCAAATTACATTTTAAAAACGACAGCTGGGTCATTTGCGAGCGTGAATGTAATTCGAAACATTCGAGCCTGAAATCGCGCCGGAGCGCGACCCTCGCAGGACTCTTCAACCCCCGCTGCCCGAGTGGAGTCTCTCGGGCAGCGACGTGCGCCCTCCTGCGACCACGACGCCTGCGCGAGAATAACGAGCGATTTCATTCTCGCTCGTGTAGCAGCCCCTCGATAATTGGTAAACGGTTCGATAAATAGGAGCGGTCGTAATGAGCCGGGAGGGGCGGACTTCAGTAGCCATGTAAAACTTTTCCCCGCGCCGATTGGATTTGAAATGCGAAGGCACGCGTAGCCGCTGCCGCCTCGAGTCGCCAGGCTCTGGCCAGGGAACGGCGACGCCTCGTCCTGCGATCCCGTCGCGACATTTTTCCGACGTCGTTATTGATCCTCGGCGGGGGTCCGCCGTTTACCTTGCCCCTCAAAACAGCGGAACTCGTGGGTGGCACAGAATTGGGTCAGGGCTAAGCGAAAGCGTGCCGCGTTCCATTTTCGCACTGCGTTCTAGGCCCCCCCGTGCGACAGGGAGTCCTATTTATACTCCTCCCTTCGGAAATATATCGCTCGACGTATTCGCGTTCGCCAGCGCGAAGGCACTTTGCCGTGATTTACAGATTGCGTATTCTGCCGGTGTGCCGTGTCGAGGGACGCTGCGACATAAAACTTGATTCAGGATGTCGAGCAATTAGGGACTCGATCACGAAGCCCGTTTCTTTTAGCTGCGAACTCGTGATGAAAATTGAAAATTTTCATTTACGAATATTGGAAACGTTCACTTTTCACGAGTTCACGCTGGAAGAAAGGATTCGCGACCGAGCTCCCCGGAGCAGAGAAGAAACACGAGGCGGGGTTTTCTGAAAACTATTGGTAACATAAAACAACATCGATTTATTCAACACAAATACTTGCACGTTATGATAGAGGTTTGTAGTAATGATATAATAATGATAATAATATTCATATATACACGAAATAAGGCACGTTTTGATATATTAATTAAATGCGCGACGGGCGCCTTGGGCGCGGAGAACGCGCGTCCTCTCTTCCTCCCGACGGTCGGCGCGCGTTAGCCACGTTTACAATTACTATCAATCGTCTTTGTCCCTTACGATATGCAACGTCCTTACCAAATGTAGAAAATGTCGTATATATAATCTGTATAAACGTCTCCCGTCGATATGCGCTCGCGTTGCTCGCGTCGGACCATTAGGAACGAGATCGCGAGGCGGGATTCTCGCACGCGAGATTATCCACGGCTTGCACAATCACACTCCCTAAGCTATTCAACTGCGTCTCGTGTGTCGCATTGGCAAAATTGCGGCCCCGAGAGACTCGATTAATCCTAAAATAAGAATCGCCAGTTAGACTTGTCTAATTAAGCACGCACTCGTACGCGGGCCAGCGCTCGCTAATGTTTCTTTCTTTCTCTCTCTTTCTCTCTCTCTCACACATACACACACACACACTCTCTCTCTTTCTCTCTCTCTCTTCGAATTCTTTTCCAGTTAAACGCACTTAACGCATTCAATCACGTTCACGACTAATTACACGCGAATTCGGGCGCGACGCGGCTCGCATCGTCGCATGAAAAGTGCAGCCGCGTAAACAGCTCGTGTCTCCTGAACATCCCACTCGGTTGATTTCAACAGAGCTACGTACGCCTTTTCGCAATTTCTGTCGAGAAAACGTTCCACGCGTGATATTTAAATTTCGCTACATTTCTTCGGCGTATGCAATTTCATAATTGTATCTTCAAATGTAACGGAGAAGAAAAGAAAGGGAATAAAATTGCGCCACACGATTAGACTCGTAGACGTACAAGTGATAATACAGGCAGGTGTATTACCCTGACGATCGTCAGTTGCACCTTTTCATTGTGCATTTTTGCATACACGGCGGTATTTGTGATTTTGTTGGCACGCAAAAATCATTTTCAAATATGAAATATCCGAAGAACCTAGGGGATAAAATGATCAAACCTCGCGCGCCCCCTAGTTTTAAATTAGACCTTTCTCAGGCGAACACGTTATAAATTTTTTAAACACGTAACTAACAGGTAAAGACTCGTTAATGTATTTTAGATTAAAATCTTATTTTTATACGAAGACTGTATTATTCGCGTCGACTCTCGATCGCGCTCGTATAGTGATATGTAGCTAAAATTATACGAAACGATCCGTGTTTCCTTGTAAAAGTGTACTTTTCGCGCTAGCAAATTTACACGATTCAATTAATCGCCGATTCACGCTCGCGTGTCGTTCGCAGCTGTCGAAAGCGAAGATGATCCCCCGCTTACGATTAGCAGCTCATACATATTCATACACTTAGCGACACTCTCTTAGATTTACTTAGGCGGTACTTACGTTCTCTGAACTGGCATCGAGATATCGTATCTTACACGAATGTATCATACAAATAGAATCAAACAATTCGTCTCCGGAATGCTTTGCCGTTTTCGTCCTCCGCGCGTCCCTAATTAAACCTACGCGAGTACCTAAGTTAAAAACTAAAAAGAAAATACATTCTCTTTTTTTCGTTACGCGGAACGTCGCCGCCTTCGCCCCAGCGAGTCTGGAATGTAGAATTCGCCTCCGAGGAGGCGGCAAGAGACTGTGAGCGATCGACAAATGCTCAAATGCAACGCGAATGATCGAATCGTCGATTATTAACGATATGACGTCTGACGATTACAGTTTAACATGAGGAGTGACATTAGTGGTCGGTTAAAATGATTGTATACGTCTTCGAAATGATATATAAATAGTACGGCAAAATTGCTCCGTTTCCTATTTGGCTTCGTCTTCGAAATACTTGTCGAATATCGGGAAACGCGTGAACGGGAATAGCTTGAAGGTAAGCGATCTCTGATTATAAGACGCATGCTATCTCGTGAGCCGTTGCGTGAGAACAATGTAAATTATTCAAACGCAATCTGCGTTAAGGGAGTTATAATTCTCCTCGCGTTTCTTTCCCCTCGAGCTCGCACATGGCACTCCAAGGGTTAGCCGAAGGGCACGACCGCGCAGATATCGTCTAATACGATCTCCTGAAATCATTCGGCACACGCAACTACGTGTTTTCATTAACGGCGGTGCGTGCTCGCGATTTGAGCCGCGCCGGTGTTCGTCCCCGGTTACAGCGAGCTTAGGATGGGAGTATTTTTAAATTTGGCACTTTACTTTCCTAAAGGATAATAGCTGCGTTCGGGCTCGTCGGAGACACATTCGCTCGCGGAAATTGCCGGCGCCGTAACGCGGAGAGCGAGAGGAAAATAATTGGCTATCGAGACGAATAATCGACGATTCGGCCGGCAAGGATCGGTACGATCGTTTCTGTGATAGCATCCGGCATCCCGCTTCCCCTTTCGATCCGCGTGGAAGCGCAAACGATCAGTGAACGAAAGTGACGATCGAGAGCTAATTCGATGGTCGATACGATCACGTTCGTCCACGACCACGTCCGGGCCAATCTCTCGTAATACTCTTAGTACTTAGGGCTACTACATGAAACTCAAATCATAATCGGTTCGAGCGGTGCTCGGAACTTATTCTAATTAAATGCAGTTTCTCGAGTACAAAATTCTCTAAGTGTATTGTCCTCGCAAACGTTCGTTGCATCGATCGATCTTCCGCTTTGTCCTAACACACTCCGAGCTCGCCGATGAGAGGTCGATGGACATTTCCCGACGAGTGTCTCGGGGAAACGCGTGGAACTCGAGCCGGTCCACCAGGTCGGTCCCGAGCAGCGCCGCAGGAATCATTTTTTTGCGATCTCTCGCGGATTCCCCGCGCGACATTTATCTGCCGAAGCGGGTCTTGGCGATCGAGTACCGTTTCCCCGGCAGCCAGGACCCGGCGCGCTCGGGACCGTGGCCGCGATTATGCGAATGACGACGCGAGAAGGCGCGGTATCACAGCTTCGACGAGTCGTAATTCTCGAAGGACCATCTCTGTCTCGGGGCATTGGTCGAGCATTCCTCCATCACCAGTTGTTGCTTGCTCTCCGTGATCGCCAGACACTTGTCGCTGCTACCGTGCCTGATGTGGTTAGTCTGGAAGCAGAGGTGCGTGGACGACTTAAGTCTCACCTCGAGCAGCAATTTGCATCAAGGACCGAGGGCTCAACTTTGTAAAATTATATTTGCTAAGCTTGCGAATTGTTTAATTTTAATTTTCTCAAGAGTCAAGACTCGCTCTCGCGGAGCAGGGGAATATTTCGAGGACGATCCATCACCTGAGGATTGTAGATCCATTGTTGATTCCCTTTACTGCCGTGGCAAGGATAGAGAATAACGTCGCTGCCGCTGTAGTCCAGGCACGACTCGTCTCGACGGATCTCGCCCGTCTTGCTGAGCATCCAGTACTGCGACAAACGATCTCGATTAATATCTCCTAGGAATCGCGCGGACTTGCCTGCGACCAGCGAGATTTTGACAGACGCCATTAGGAGGTGGAAGAGAAAGAAAAGCAAAATTTTGCACGAACCATCGGCCGAAAATACAGAATTGCCTTGAATAAAATTCATATTAACGCACGGGGATATTTCGTCATTGCGAAAAACATGGGAAAAAAACTCGATTAAAATCTCGGTAGTTAATATGTATAAATTCCTCTCGATGTGCTTCATAAAGCGCTCTCGCGCCCGTATTATCGCGATCCGTCCCCGAAACAATGATATTCGCAAAATCGGCGGGATTGCGAATCGCGGCGGTGAAAAAAAAAAACGTATAAAATCGTCCGATCCGCGGCGTTTAATCTGTCGCATTGCGTGCTCGCGGGACGCGAAAATAAGCGCGGCGTATCCCTCACCGGTGTATTATCGGTGACCGCGGGCGGACGCGCGGATTTTCGCGGTGTTACGCCGACCGATCGATCGCAATACGCGCCGTTTGTAAAATAACTTGTCCCGGGCGATCGTGTACGCGAGCGGGACCAACGATTATTCACCGCGGGCGACGCGCCGGTGTTCGAAGGCGAACACGCGCGGCGGAGGCGCGTCAAAGCGGCGACCGGCGGCCCCGTAATGAGCGCCGGTCGACCGATAATCGAGTCCGGTGGCCCTCGAAATTGCGCTTATCTGTCCGGACGTCGCGCCGCTCGCTGTTTGCGCAATTCCAGCTGCCTGGAATGGACCGCGCGCGAGCTAAACCCCCTCGCGCACGTCGCCCGTAAAGTACCCGTGAAATATTCTTGATTCTGTATAAGAGAACGAGAACGCCGGTTTTTCTTTCGATTGTGATCTCGACGCGTCGAAGCGAGGTGGAAAAATCCGTCCGTTGAAATCGCGAGAGTGTTAAGAGGATGCTAAAGTCGTCTGTTTTACCGACACATTCGAATATAGTTTTTGCGCTGCTGAATCTTTTTATTACTTTTTACGCCTAAAATAATATCAGGATAAGTTGCGGACCGCATAGCAGAACGTTTTAATACTTGAAACACTCGGGTCAGAAGTCTAATGAGAAAGATATTGATATTTGAAATTTTCGATTTTTTAATCGTGAGCAATTTGAATTTGGCTTTATAAAATTACAAAATTCTTCCACGCGATTACAGTACGCGTAGAAACAAAGCGGGGGGTTCACGACTTTATATAAAAAGCGAAGAGAAATTAAAAATATCGCTTTATAAGTAATTGTGGTTAGGCTTCACATGCTGATCCTCTTAATTTCAAGGGAGCATCCTCTTAATTTCAAGGGAAAATGAAAAAAAGAAGTGCACAAAAGGCGAACGATAACGCGATAAATGAACGACGCGAGAGCGCTTGTTCTGGATGTGCATGTGCTCGCGCGGTCCTAATTATCACTAATTTAGTACGGAGAGCGGACTGCGGGATTGGGACCGCGGCTGTCAGAACCGTCGGGTCGACAATATAGTTGTTTTCAAGTGCTTTACAAGTATAATTAGAGGATAGTGGGGATAACGAGAAGCAAGCATTCACCGCACACATATGTATCATCAAGCATCGTTAGCCATGGACGACCCGCGTTCCATTCTGCCTGAAACTCTCGCTCAAATCAGAGTATATTATGCCGCTTCAAGTATAATACAAGTGTGTTACATATTGTCTAACGCGCACCGCTTTGTCGTATCTCGCATGCTTGTACCAGGGTGCGACCAGTTAAATGTTACTTTTTGCACCTCGCGGAAGAGAAGAGAAGAATTATAGCAGTCCTAGTCGCGCAGTGCATTTCACCAAACATTGATTAAACATTGACCCAATATTTGATTGTATCGGGCCAATGTTTAGCTAATGCACTGTGCTACTAGGGAGGACTCGCGAAAATCAGTTGGCGATTCAGCTTCGTGAGGGGCGCGTTTATCGACGGCCGTTATGTACAGTAATGGACAGAATGGCGGCGACACTTGATTTATGTCCTGAAACACTTTTTCTGAGGAAAATTCTACTCGAGAAATAGATCGGAGACGCTCAAAATGGTTTCGGAATGGTCATCGAATGAAATATTTCTCGGAGAAGAAGATTTTGCAACGTAACACTGAATCTAAATGCCTCAACTCACTAAGAAAAAAAGGTGTCGCGATCATTCTGTTCATCATTGTACGGGCCTCGTACGATTACAGCGTGACGTTTCATATCATGATTCCCGAGCACGATGATCATTCTATGTTACAGCAGGTAGCGAGAGACAGAGAGAAAGAGAGACAGACAGAGAGAGAGAGAGAGACAGCCTAGATATACGCATTGTAGTGTCCCGGGTAAACTGACCACCCGCGGCGACCGCAACGGCTATCTCTCGCGATGCACTCGCCTTCCATCCGGTGATACGATTATTCATCTTCCATCATCCGCGATCACGGACCGGTCCCGCGCGATCACCGATGCGCAGCATCCCGGGCGCTGCAACGCGCGTCCCTCTTCGTCCCGCGTAGCGCACCGGCGGGGGAGGACGCGCGACTTTATCAGTGTCGCGCGGGCGACGACCGAAAGCGTAATTGCCGTGAAACCGCGGCTTAATTGCGAGGGCAAACAGCTAAATTAAAGCGGCGCTTTACCGGGCTAAGCAAGCACCGCCGACTGATTGTGTTTTTGGTTGTAACCGGTCGCCACGGTTGTTAAACGCCCGGGCGTTTCGGTGTTTCGCGCGTGCACGCATACGTAACCGCGCGCGCACACGTGCGCGCCGGCACGTGGGTGAAAGGCGGGAGACGCGCGTGTGGACGCGCGGTCCTATTTCGTGCGGGGCTTTAATAACAGACCGAGCAATCGACCGAATGAGTGCAAGAAACAAGATAAAGCGCGGATTTACACTGTACGCTCGATCCCGTCGAGTGGCGGGCGTAAGCTCGCTAATAAATGAACGGAGGTCGCTGATGAAATTGCCGCCGTTGTTTTCCGCGCGCGTATCGCTGCGTCGTCGCTAGCTCGATTAATACCTTTATATCTTAGAAAAAAAAAGAAACAGATGCCCCTGAATAAAAAGGATGCTGGCTCGATTGCACCTTTATTCGCATCGAACCAATCGCCAAGTCTCTTCGTCCTGAGAGTTAAAGTCGCACGATAAAGTGTTACGTACGAAAGAGCAAGGTTTACATTGCGAGAGGATGAAGAAAAACGGATAGAATTGGAAACATGTTCAACGTGCATGCGTTTAGGATACTTTGCCCCCCCTGATATTCTCCCATTCGCGAGTTATGGGGCGAGTCGGTGATTAAAATCTAAGCGTACTATATCAATGTGAGAAATGATGATAACACAGTAAGAAACCGTGCCAGGAGGCAGCGATTGGGGCCATCACACCGAGGGGCAGTAGAGACACGGATTGATGAGCACCTGCACCAGATTAGCGACGCCACTAATCGCGCCGGTCGAAAACGCGGGGCGATTAGTGCCGAGTGCACGCGAGCGCACATGCGTTCCAAGGATCCGCATTCGCAAAGTCGCGCGGATTTACGAGCCCGAAACCAGAGATATTAGATCAGAGATGCACGCCTGTCCGCACCCATCCGTCGTACGATTAGGAAAGCCTCCGGGGACTCGACACGACGAATGTCCGTTAGTTACAAACGTTCTCTTTAGTTTTGCGCTCTTAGAATTGCTCGAGACGGCTTCGCGGATGTACCTGATTGCCGCCTTGAAGGTGACAGGGATACAAGCCCACCGGCTGATGCAGGTCTTCGGACTTCCCTGATGAATCTATACACATTCTGCTAGCGATTTGCCGTATCTGCGTTAGAATTCAAGAGAAATGCACACGGTTACTCCGGGCAGGTGAAAGACTCGTCGTCGCTCATCCGACGGCGTTTCGTGCGAGAGCGCACACGGCTCTACCTTACGTCGCTGTGCTCCGTTCGAGAATACCCAAGCGGCCGGAAGCGCGAACACACATGGCATTGGAGCGAGTACGATTAGGCACTCTCGGGCGTCATTGGGGAAACGATAGCGGGTCAATATCGCCGATGAGACGGAAACTCGATTTTCTAGTAATTCGGTATGTAGCTTCGATTAGCTTGCGCAGCGGCATTACGGAGCGCACATTTCGAAACGAAGCGATCCACGCGCGCGTTGTTTATTCACGCGGGAATATACGATAATAATTAGGCTAAATACCGGCGGTCCGCGGCGACTAACGAGCGCTCTCGCTGTGCCGTGGCCGAGAGCCAAAACGGTCGGTTTCATTTCGGACCGTCGGAAAATTTTGCAAAAGCCAGGCTCTTATTTCTGTCGGAAAAAAAAGTAAAAGCACGCGGAATACGCTTAACAATACGAAACGGACCTCGAAGTAGAAACACCAAGATAAAAGGTGAGTTGGACCGAGACTTTTACCTGCACTCGTTAGAAATGGACGTGAGCGGCGCGAACAGCCAAATTTTCCATCTTTCTATAATGTTAATTATACGAGTCTGCAAATGTTTCTCGGCATCGTATTTTAATAAAAATAATCGACTTTCCGGGGTAATATTCGATTAATTTCAGTCCGTCCGGTCATTAACGAAATAACAGTTATTAAGTCTCAGCTAATTTTCCGATTGTTATTTTTGTATGCTGAGTAGCAGAATAATTCGTCGTGCCCGTCCATATATGTCGCAGATACAGGTCACCGGTAGTTCATCATCCCCGTCGCAGTAAATTCTTCACTAATTTCTCGATCTATACTCGATAACTCGATTTGTAAATCAAATTCATCGAAATTTGATACAGAATCCACCATCTCGGTCGCACGTATGGTGTGAACTCTGGCACCGTGATGTAATAAAGTACGCAGCGGGTGTACTGCCACGGCGGGCATTCGATGTCTCGAAATATGCGGAGTCAAACATGCGCACTTCCAAACGCCAGCGACAGCGCGGGAGAACCGTTGAGGCCGTCGTAAAAATCAAACCAAATTCAACAAAAATCGTGTTTCCGTTTCCAACTCGGAGGACGTACTGCAGTTTCACACATCAAGCACGGGCAGGCGTTTCACGGGGACAATGTGGTCAAGGAAATTTTTCGGGGAGGGGGGGGGGACGTCTATTGTATACCTGATTTCCACCCTGTCGATGACAGGGATACAGCCCACACGGTTTGTGCAAATCGGCCTTGCGTGCGGGCGAGTCCAGACAGGTGTTGCCGCCCTCGCCGAGGTTTCGGACCTGTTTGTTGTTAGTAATTTTTGTCGGACATTAGCGTGTACACGTCGCACCGTTAGTAAAATACCCAAGAATATATAATAATAAACGGATTATCGAGGGAGGAGAACAACGTCAGCGGCGTGGCATTCGGACACTTCTGCGTTTTTTTACATTTTTATCATTCCCTCGACGTGACATACTTCATCACGTAACTTTGGAATTAAAATGGAAAATTATTCTCGATCGAATTAATTAAAGCGCAAACGCGTACCCGACTCGAAATGTCAATGCGATGTCGCAGACGTTCTGCCTTATTTTAAGATCGGGAAGCGTAAAAATACACGGGACGGCCGCAACTTCGCCCTCGTACCTGCAAGATAATATCATCGGATTAATAAGATCGTGTTTTTCGAACCGTGCGCCTCCGGTAACGAGACACGTTGATTCGATCTCTCGAGAGAAATTCTGAAACAGAGTATGATGAGGCAAAAAAGTCACTCCCCTCGTGGCGCAATGATTCCTCGTTTCTTTTTTTATCCACAGATTCTGCGGCATGCCTGGAAAAGCGGGGACCGCGCAGACCGCGGATTGCGTTCTCCATTTTTCAAATAGACGGAAACAAATTGAAAATGAGGTCTGCTCGTATTTCGTTCGGTCCGACGCGCGTGTTCGCGCGCCGAATCGTACGTGTGTGCGTACGTGTGTGCGAGAAAACGTATGTACGTATGTACACGTATGCGCGCATGTGCCTGCGCGTAACAGCAGGTGCATTCAGTTACGGCGCTCGGTCAGCAGTCCTGATTTCGCTGCATGCAAGAATTCTGTGGTCGTTGCAGTTTCAACGTGAACATCTTTATTCCCGCCCGCCCCCTCCCCTACCCCTCTGCCGCGCACCCCGCCCATCCCCTGTCCCACGTCTTCATCCTCGTAGGAGTCGTCCTCGTTGTCGGCGTCCGACTCGTCGGCCGACTGGAATAAAAACTCGTGATTTATAACCGGGGGTATCCGGCAGGTCGATAAAATTTCCGAAGCTCCTGTGTTCCGCCGGCATTATTAAAGGCTCTCGAAGGCTCTTAGTGAACTCGATGAGAAATGTGATATAGTATTTAGACTACTTTACGATCCCAACTCAGAGAGCTGGCGCCCGCGGTAATATAATATCGCGGAGAGTCACGTATTTCGGGCATTTTCTGAATTTCATACCTCGTTATTCTATAATCCGCGGAAGAACGCGTATCTCCTTCGTTTTTACGCCGGCAAATCCCCACCTTCATACGCGAGGACAGGGGGGAAAAAAAGTGAATCTTACTGACGCTAACGACGATTTTTCAGGAATATCTCTAGAAAGATTACACGAGCCACGAGCGCTGCGCGCGAAGATATTACGGATCCTGGGTTCACAGGTCGTTGAAGAACCTGGTGAATATCGTATTCGAATCAAGTTGAGATCACGTGCAACTTAATAATCGAGTTGATAAATTTAGAAGGTTTCACTGTGATATCTAGAAAATATTCTGTAGATGTCCACGATCTAGTCCTATTTCAATTGATATCATATTCAAGTCGAATCAATATCTCCAGTTAATTAGCACCACGATATTCAACGAAAGACGATACTATCATTAAGGGGATGCTGGAGTGATTCTGCACTTTCGCACCTTTTGCACTTAAAACTGTCTGTTTCGTGAAAAGATTTGTGTAATACACAAATTAAATGGCACGTGTACAGATGATCGAAAGCAGCTTGCTATTCCGGCTAAGTTAAAGAACAATATGACATCACTGAAACTAAGTTTGTAAGTCTAATAAAAAATAATAGTGAGCAACA